AAAAAAAAAAAAAAAAAACTTATTTTTTGGGTAAATTGTAAAATCGTATTACCAGAATAGCAATTTAACATCACAAATTCAACCAAAAAAATTTAACTGAATTTTTTTTTTTTGAATCAAATCCGAACCAAGGGACTCAGGGTACACCTTACTAAGGGTAACGAAATCAATAGGCCGAAAAAAAACTAAGTAATTTAATTGAATTGATAATTACTAATTTAAAAATTTTAATTTTCATTCTAAATAAGAAATTTCAACCTTAATATGGCTAAGTAACCATCCCTTCAATTTAATAATAATAAAAAAAACGAACATTTTAATTATCAAGATATTTTGATTTCCTCAATTACAAACAGAATATGAAATTGAATTAATATGAGGACAAGAATCATTTCCCCCACCCCAGAAAATGCATGGAATGAAATGAAGTAACTCGTGAGGGCTTTCATTTTTTTAATACTGATTATAAATGATAAGTTCAAATTTTTAAAAATGATAAATTCAAATTTTTATTGAAAAAAAAATTTAAAAATTACTTTTAAAAATAAAAAAAATGAGAAAAAATTTTATGAAAATTTTAAATTTAAAAATTTTAAATGTTTACCATTTGGCATCTTTTTAAGGTTAAAAACATTTAAAAATAAAGTTTTTTAAAAAAATTTAATTTATGAAACATGAATAATATAAAAAAATTAAAACACTTGAAAGCTGAACCAAATATATTCTTAACCTTATTACACTGGTATATGAAAATTTTGTCCCAAAAGGGAGTTGATCTAAAAGATGCAATGATGCTCAACAGATTAAATTAAAATTACAAGAACAAAATGGGTCAAGGGAAGCAGGCAAAAAATTCATTCATTACAACGTATCAACTCTAAGCTTCCTTTTTGGAGGAGTCTTCTCTATTATCTGCTTTTGCCGCTCCATGAATGTAGATCCCTTGTTTGCAAATAATCTACGAAGATTGATCACTGAAAGCTCGTTAAAGTTAGCGATTGTGAGATCAGCCTGCACCAGGTTGTACCTGCACATTCAAACCACCTCTTTCTGAGTATATGCCAAAAAGGTTTCACCTGCTTCAAAACTGAAAAGAGTAACGCAATTTGCAAGAGCAACTCTTCATAATATAGGCTTTCTTTGAGATGCTAAATTAGCTGCATGAATCAGTGCTTGTATTTGAGTGCATAGTGAATGGTAGCTGGGTCAATACATACGCAGGATGAGCCCCAATGAGTGCAACAGCCATCATGGTACAGTTGTGTGCAGCAGTTATGCCTCTAGCGTCATCCTCAAACACCACACATTTGGAAGGTTTACGATCAAGCTGCAGTAATGTACAGAAATCGAAAAAATGAAAAGCTTATTTGATATATTTGGTAGGTGGTATAAAACTAATCAATTGTAAAATTGAAAAGCTTTTCCTTTTTTCAATATGTTTGGTAGAAGGAATTAATCTAGTTAATTATAATGCACATCTTAAGTCGACAAACTCAAAAAAATGTATCTATCTATTGAAAGTGCAATGATGAAACCAAAGATTACCTTAGATTATAAGGAAAATTGAAAGGCTGGAAGTCAGAGAAACAGAGGCCAAAACAAAAATCTTAGGCTGGCAAACATACCTTCACAGCTGCAGAAAGAAACCTATGAGCTATTGACTCCATGCCATCTTCCTCAGACACTACTGCCTGCACATTCAACAAGTCAGTGTCAGCTGCTGATCAGAAAAGTTAGGCTGATCATGTAAATTTGGAAACTTCTTATGGGCATGACCACTTTATATAATCTAAACAATCTCCTAGATCATTTTGTAAAAACAACAGTAGAAAATTGTTTTTCACATGTGTCTAAGATAATTACAAACTATATCAGATCAGCCAAATTTTATTTAAAATGTCACAAAAATAGTCTCTAAGGTTAAGACAAGGCAATTACATTTGTTAAGTTAAAGGATTAAATTTCAGCAAAGCACAAGAGTGAATCATGGTCAGCAAACCATAAAAATTATCTGCCATGTGCTGGCTAAGGATACAACTAGCATCATTTAGAACATATTGATTAATACTTTCTGCTAGGAAAAACTAGTAGTTTGTAGTTATCTTAAATAGATGATGAAACCTGAAAATACTTCTTGAGTCCCATCCGTTCTAGGGCATCCACCATGTTCCTTCGATCCAGACAAGAAACAACGGCACAAGGGATATGGGCTGTATATACTGCATCAAGCCATTCTTCTAGCCCCTCTGCAGGTTCTTGTGACTGAATGAAGATTAAAGGAGAGGCAGTGACATTGTTTAACTTAAAATAGAAACAGTACACTGAGGAATCAATTGTGAAGGATGCTCTTACTTTTAGAAGATTATCATAATACAGTTGTGAAAGCCTCAACTTCAATCTATCCACTTCACCTTCATCATTCTCCCAGTGCAAGACCTGAAAATTTTGGAAACGCACAAATAGACGGTAGGTTAAAATTGACAGACCAAGAAAATCATAAGAGGCCAATTAAAATCACTCATTCTTCTTTCTTTCTTTTCTTGTGCTCGCTATGATGTAGGTTAAAATTTAATGACAAAAAGTACACAAAAACTTTTCCCAAGCAAGGAAAGAAAGAAAGAAAGGGAAAAGTCCAAAAGATAACAAGTTAGTTATCCACTTGCAGTTTTACCACTTCTTACAAGACATTACAAGGCAACCATTCTAGCTCGGTACATAATCACATATTCACATGCTAATATTCTTCTGAAATTCACCTAGGAATAGACAGTTTGACTGCTCAATGTCATAGGAACAGAAACTGAAATCTTAACCCTACATTCTTAAATATTAATGCATATAAGAAGGCAAAACCTGAATGAACATTAACTGTCAAACCTTATGCAATACATGGTCAGCACCTGCATAAAGCATCAACCTTTGAACATCATTGTCTTCAGAAATTTCCTTTCCTGCAAAAAATAAAAACAAATAAACATTATCATAATATCATTGATATGCCAGGAAAACTTCTTGCCCAATACCCATTTCAAGATCAACAATGAAAAAGCATCCAAGACCCAGGTTGATGTTGGGATTCAACATAGCTAAGACACTTCTATAACCACGCTGGAATTTTATTATTATTATTATTTAAAAACACACACACACTAAAAGTCAGACTTCTCAAACTTACATACTGCTGAGTCGTAAAGTGTTAAAAGACAGCACTGTTAACATTCTCTAATCATAATAAATGCAACTGAAAAACATTTAGAAACTGGCTAATCAAAGAAATATTCAGGATATAATACAGATTATCATATTGCAAATGTGTAGATATACCATATCAAACTGGTGAGGTGGGAAGCTGTGAAAGAGAAATACATGTATATAATATGTATATGCATTTAACTTGCAAGCATGAATGCATAATTGTGACTACTGGGTAATATTACATATTCATGTATGGTTAAGATTGATGCATACCCTCTTCAGAGGCAAGTTGTTTCCAGGCACTTAACTTCAGAGCTCGAGTATTTGCCTGAAACATGACATTGCATAAGTGAAATTACGTGAGAGGTACTGATTTTTGGAAATACATATATTAAAGCCAAACTATATAAGGTTCTTCCACCACTTAACCTTGTTTCACTCAACAAGCAACCTACTGGATGGCATTTAGCTAAGAGTCTTACAATACCATCTGATTATACTCTTTTAATGACATGTTGCCAACAAATATTATAAATATATGACTAGATTTAAGGACCTACCACCACATTATCCCAAGAGAATATGAGACCATATGCTTCATCAGGTTTCATGGCATAACGAACCCGTTGAAGGAAACCTTCTTGTAATCTATCATTCAAGAAATCCTATTTGAAACAAGAATTTGAAGATTGTAAAACATGATCTTAACTTTCTCAAGTTCTTATAAAAGGCGGGGAATGTTTTCTCACTTAATGACTTACCACATCAACCTTTAAAGGACCATCCTGTCTAAAAGTCTCAAAACCTTCTCCATATTCAGCTCCAATTGCCTAAAATTCCAACAGATAAAAAGTAAAAGATCAAAATTTTATCAGCATCTATACAAAAATGAAAGAAAACAAATCTCAGAAGCTCTCGTCTCTCTAATAGCACAGAGAACACCAAATAGTATCCTTCTTGCTTATTGCTTGTCCATGTCCTTGGATATTGCATTATAACCATTAATTGTCTTTGCCCATGCCCTTTTTATTCACCAGAATTATCAGCTAGTAATGAATATTCAAAGAAAAAAAAAAGTTCATGCTTTTTAATAATCCTGTAAATTTGTAGTAAACTATGGTGCCTGTGTGTAGGGTGCAAACGCAGCAAACCCCGTAAGTACCAATTTCGAGTATGTCATGTAAAAAAGGCAAATGTGTAAATCACCTTTTAAAATTATTGCATTGAACTAAGGGTGCGTTTTAGATTGCTATGAAATGCTGTGAGTGTAGCTGTGATTATACTGTATTGTAACTGTGGTTGAAAATTATTTTGGTGTTTGGTTATTTATTTTTTAAAAGTATTATAGACAAAATATAATAGATTTTATTAATTATTAATTAAAATTTAAAAAATATTGTAAGATATATAGTTATTAAAATAAATCATATTTATAAATCACCTTTTAAAATTATTGCATTGAACTAAGGGTGCGTTTGAGATTGCTATGAAATGCTGTGAGTGTAGTTGTGATTATACTGTATTGTAAC